ATGCTGTAATTGTAGTTGAGCAATGGTCACATACTGGAAACGGCTGGCTTTTGAATGTGAAGCCATTGGGAATTTGACATGAATGAAGTTGCCTGCATGTATCCAATACTGCTGCCACAGCCAATGTTTTTGAATATGCCCTACAGATAATGTACAGATTTACAGAACAACAAGGACAATCAAGGCTTGTTTGTTGCTGCTTCAAGTTTCATGCTCTCCCAAACATCAGGCAACATGAGGATATGGGTGCCGACCATGCCGGTATACTACACTGTATATTATGCCAGGTGAGGGTGGGTCTTGTAGCGCTGTATGAGAATGTGGGGGGCCTGTATATCCGGGGGACAGGATGTATGTATGCAGAAGAATGTTGTATATCAGCTGCAGTGCAAAGAATGTCCGGAACAACATGTTGGTGAGACTGGCCGCTTTCTGAAAACTCGCCTGGAAGAACATAATGGTGAGGCAAGACGACAGGAACTCAACAAGCCATGGGGCCAACTTTTTCGTACCACTCACCCTGGATGCAAGCTCAACTATGGGCAAAGTGCATTCTCTGCAGTTGAAGTAATAGGGAGAGAGCCTGATCGAGCCCGTCGCAAACTGCGCAAGGCGATTGAGATTCGTGATGCTACGCCCCATGTCAACATAAGCACCGGATGGGATTTATTGTGAATTTTCTCAGCTTCCCCTGCTGCTACTCTTTTTTTCAATATCACTGAATATAATATGAGGCGGGTCACTCAAATCCATTCTGTTCCTGATGCCCCGTCGCGTCCCTGGTGGTAACACTTTGGCATGGAAGTGTGGGATTTCGCAGTTGTCTGCTTTTCTCACACATTCTGTTATTAACCTAGCTCATAGTGCATTGGCGGGGAATTTGGCGCATGGGCCTCCGTGCTCCCCTCCTGTATTGTGCTAGAATTAACACCATAATTATTTGGCATGATTGTATCCTCACTTCGAAGAGCACAATGGCGCGCTCTTCTTCCCCGTGATGTGCACAGTTGCACCTTCTCTCCCCCATCTGCATAGAGGTGACATAACTCGCATCCCCTTTTTTATGGCGCTACACTCTGCGTAACGCCATCGCAAGCGCCCTCACTTCACAGAGCACAATGCAATGGCGCGCTACCTTCTGCTGCTTCTTCTCCGAGATGTGCTAGGTGCACTTTCTCTCTCTCTGCCCCCCCCCCTTCTGCATACTAGGTGACATAATTCGCATCTTTTTTTGGCGCTACACTCTGCGTATATATGCTGCTCTTGTGTGGCTTCCACGGTATTCATTGTTATTACCTGACGATGGCCAAGTGCCGAAACCGTTACGTTGTAAAAATAACGGAACTGGTTCGGATGTGATGTGCAGCGCTATGGCAATGGGTGTGTCCACCCGAATTCCTTTCAGAGATGAAGCTGCAGGAAGCCTCAGCCCTTCTTCAAAGTGATACAATACTCGTATTTTATCCAGCCAAAGCCGGGAGTGCAACCCGTCGAGAAACAGATACAGAGAGAGGTCTGTTGTGGCAGGGTATATTGACCGAAGGTTTGAAGATTGGTTTGAAACGTGGCGCATTCCTATTCCCTTCTGCTCACTATCGAGGAAACGAAGTACTTAGTTACCGGCACGCAGCGTCAGCAGGAACACAAGCCGTAGAAGCAATGGCAACGGGAGATTCGCGCACTGTGGAGGAGTGCTTTTTGGAGGACTGTTTCACTATGTTTCGCTACACCATTCCACACCCGGATAACTTCGAACGAGCCAAGGCCATATGCAAGTCCAGCAAACCTGTTACGATCGAAACACCGCAAGTCGAGGATGTGAAGGACCCAGGCGAATGTATCTATAGTTCAGATGCAACGAGCAGACTTGTGATGAAGGTCACCACCAAGAAGGGCTCCGAAAGCACTGAAGCCAGTCCAACTGTGCTGAAATTACACAAAATCCACCCTGCTCAACATAGGTACGCACCTAAGATGCTGTACAAAGAACTCCTTATAACCATGTATGTACAGAGGTGCGAGGAGAAAATTCGGCAGGAGAAGATTGATCGGCTGATTGCAACGTGCAAACCAATTTGGTATAAGTTCAGCAGTTGTGAAGGATTCGAAATGGACTATTTCGCAGAAGGCACACTTGGCCAGCTATCCCGGACTCTGCGGCATGATAATGAGCGACTAGGTTTGCTGCGGGATGCTGCATCCGGTCTCCACTTCCTCAACTCTCTGCACATTATCCATTTTGATGTGAAGCCATTGAACATCTGTGTAAGCATGGGAGCCGACGGCACACGCGTTGCCAAGTGGATCGACCTAGGTTCTGCTAAATTTACCGGGGAGAAGGTGGATAGGTGCAATCTCAATGATACTGCTGCATATCGACCTCCTGAACTATTCCCACGCCCAGGAATCCAACCCACTGAGGATTTAGTTCTAGTTGATTCGTCAGCAGACTTCTGGAGGTTTGGACTATGTATTCTGGAAGTCATGACGCGGAAAAGCTTCCCCCCGTTATGGAGCAAAGCTCTAATGAGTAACGATATGTACAAGCAGTTCATCAGGATGAATGACCGTCAATTGATGAGGGGTTTGTATGAGCCTCTGAAATTCCCAGGCTTGCGTACCTCAAAACTACCCGAATGTGTTGACAGGCTGCTTTTCTACCTGTTGCGACTCGATGGAGCTGTGCGTATGGATATGGAGCACGTCACAGAGGAGCTAAACAAACACCTTGTCCTTGCAAAGGTATCTCCTCTGGATGATGCAGGCACGTCGAAGGTGTCCAGTGCGATCAAACCTGCTGGATCCATTCCTTGCCAAGCAATGCTTCGAAATTCTATTGCAGGAAGCTTGGAGCTGTCCCACACTCACTGTTCATGACGTCTACTCCTGTGGATGCTCTTGCCTCCTATCCCGTCAATTCAAAGCATTGAATGCCGGTGGAGGTAGCTTGGATGTGTCCAAACATTGTGATCATTGTGTGCTGGCTTGTGGGTCATGACGTCTGATGGATGCTCTTGCATCCCGTCAGTTCAATGCATGGAATGGCTATGCCTATGGCTCAGATGTGTTTGCCGCATACACTGTACTCATTATTACGATGCTGATGAAGACAGCAAAGACCCTGCTGCACTAGCACCAGAATTCACATCATTGCTGTGAAGTGACACGTATTCTTCGCAGACCGTTCCATCGCAACATGAAAGCGCTGATTTGACTGAACGCCACTAGCCACCTAGGCAGCTGGGTTAACCTGGATTGTACCCAATGATTGATAAGATGAGTCACACAACCCACCGTCCAACTAATGTCACATACATCAACATGGAAACATCACTTTCCAACTGTTTTTAACAGAGGCATTACATCCGTTTCAAGCTGATTGTTAAACTGTATATCTACAATAGTATTATGTACTCCTGAAGTACAGCTGTACATTCTGCTTTTGAACGTCTTGTCATTTAACTTTTAACCCTGATGAGGGAAAAGTTCTCCATACAACCGGACATACATTGTTCATCATTCTAACTGTTATCAGTGTGCGCCCCACCTTATGATCCAATGTGCACTCATCATTGTAGATCTACCTACGAAGCAGGCACTAGAGGTATTTTAGCAACTCGCTGTATACTTGGTGCCGGTTAGAAATCCGCAGATTCATCCCATGACATCATTCGCATAACCTATATAGTGTAATATTTGAAACTCGGGTATTGAGCCAATAATAAAAATAGAAAGGAAAAGGACATAATATTATGGACATACATGTATGTTGTTGCACTTTCTGACTGTATATAGTATCTAGTTACAGTGGAGTTACTCTGAACTCGTTTCCATGGTGTAACATGTTCACTATTGTCAACTTTGTCATGTATTTCTCCTGTTTCAGTTCGTGACCTGATGTGGTGGTAGCTAGTTTTGAACGTACATGTATAGCCAAGTGGCTCAAGTAACAATGAGGCTGGGGGAGGCTCCGCTTTTGCCCCATGCTCTAGTATGTTGCAGGCACTGAGTTTTATTCTGACATTTCATTGTACTGCGCAGTATTTCATTGCATTGTAGCCTGGGCTCCATTGGCACTACTGGCTTGGCACCGTAGATTCCATTAGAATGATTTCTAGCCAGCTCACTTGGGCGGCTATCATAGTGGTAGACACACCACGGAATGGCACGCAGTGTAAACCCAACATCACAGTTATCCACCATCAGCCAGAACAGAACCGATTGAGATTAGTTCATAGAATTGTGACAGAGAGTTCTGCTTACTGAACTATGGTTATGGTGTGGATAGTAGGGAGAACACTCCCGAACAAGTGGCACGTAGAAAGCATTGCATGCAATGTCTATTGAGCACCCAGTGAGTAGTCCAAATAGCTAGGCATATAGCTTGTGCTATGCGCTGGTCCTATCATGTCATACAGCAAGTAAGCAAGCACGCACGCACACACACACCTCAGACCTCAGACATGCCCATCGCGGGAGCGATGATAGCGAACAGCTATGTTTTAGACATAGCAACTTGTGCTGGGATTACACCATTCAACAGCTTGCAAGACTGATGAATTGACCGCCACACACACACACACACACACACACACACACACACACACACACACACACACACTCACGTGTGCATGCGCAGGAATGTGTATCACAAGGAGACAACAGCCATGCAGAGGTCACAGTATAACAGTGTACATATACCATCAGGAATACAGCCGCGATGATCAGTACTGGAGGCACTATGATAATGCAATGCCGCATATCAGTTGACTAGTACTAGTAGTAGTGACAATGTCAATGGTAACTAACTGAAACTCCACACATGTGCATCAGGATTTTACAGTTGCAGGCATTCAGTTCAGTATGCATTGCTTACTTGGCCACATGCATCATACCGTTAGATGTACAAGGTTCTGAGAGAGCCGTCCGTAGGGGCTTGCAATCTACAACGCTAGTACGGACACCATGATGCACCAGCACATGTGATGGTGACATCGCTGTAGACTTGGTTGTTCAGCGCGAGCTGCTCTAACCGGCCTAAGCAGTACACGGCGTGTGTCCACAAACCAAACGGGCTGTGGCAGTGACAGCGAGAGACTGCTCTGCACTGTTGTCTGGCAAGGTGGTTGATATGCTGAAGTGCACTACTCCGTGCTCTGCTAACTGGATTCCTGGTGTGATTGGAACCGTCACAACCTGTGCCACAATACAAAAAAAGAACCAGTGTACAACTTGGGATATTGCGGCAGGCAAGCCAGCTAACCAATGTTTTCCACAATCGAGGTTTTCCAAAATTTTGATGAAGGTAATCGGCACCTCGCTAAGATGGTTCTGCGGTGGCTGACAAGTGACAACACCATGCTGAGCACCATACAATAGCTGCTTGCTGCATTTGAGGTATGTGGTGATCGCGAGTCAATCAAGTCTGCACAAGGTGCGATCTCCAGCTAGTATTGGGAGGAGCCCACTTCTCTTTTAGATGACTGCAATGTTCTACTATATCAAATGATAGCAATAGCAGAATCTCCTGTACTTGCGGCAACACTTCCATCAAGTCGGGTTATGTGATTTCATCACTGTTTGATGTCTTTGGTATTGAATGGCACCAGCAGGAAGTGCTAGTGGCATAAAGTCATCAGCACACATTCCATGAGTTATTAGAAATACAAAGTTTCTCACTCACCGCTTCAAGAAACCTGCTGGAGTGTTGTTCAAAGTTCACGGTCTGCTGCACTGAGCTTGACCTGATGTGCAAAGTCAGGGTGAAGTTCTGGCCATCGCTCTGGAAACGCCTCACCTTCTGAGCGTGCAGTTTGTGAATCTTCACATTGAGGCACCACGAGGTGGATGAAGCACTGGTGCTGTTGCTCAGAGATCCAGCACATGTTTGAGTTTGTCTGGGCCATTGGGCAGGAAGCATCATGTAGGGCAGATCTTGCGTGCACAACATGACATTGTCTTCAAAGATACTTCTCGGCTTCCACAGGTAGTGAGTAAAGAGACTGTCACGAAGATAGGCCAGGCAATCCTTTGAAGACTTGGTGGTGCTCTCGTTGGAACATGGAGATGCTTGAGAAGAAGAGGGGAACGGCAATTCCAGGTTTTGATATGTATGTCCAGATGGTGTGATATATCTGATACCGTTTGGATTCATCACTATGATGTCGTGCCAAATTTGTGACTTGCTTTGCAGTTGGTCAGTCAGCCTGATTGCACTGGGCAAATCAGGAGCATCAGAGATCGATGGCCTTCGTGCGATACTTTTGATACGCTTTCTCAGGAGGCGCTTGCCCTTCGAAGTCCTGGGTTCGTTGTTGAAGATCATTTGCGCCTGGCCAGAGTAACTGCGAGCTGCTCCATACGCCATCACTGCAATACTGCCAGCAGTGGTGCGTGATGCTGTTGTCACAAACTCCATCATGGCGTTGCCAGCTGCCACAAGGAAAGCGTCCGTCACATTCGGGGATGTGTCCACCAGAAAGACAGTGGCCTCGCCAAAGCATTCCCGGAGTATCTGCATTGCATTCCCACACATATAGGACATCATACACAGAGGGTGTTATTCTCACACTAATGCATGGACGGTGGATAGAAGCAGATCGTGACTGAACACTATTATCCATATATGAGCCGTCAGATGCAAAAAGGTACCTTATGACATTTTTGGCCAAATCGAGTTAACGATTGTTTCAGATACAACCTGGTCAGGAGAGTGTCGTGCAAAAACCCAGGTCCAAAAATCTCAATTCATCACCGAGTTACCCTGGAAACTATCCGGACTATCGATCACATATTCACAGAAAATACTTTTTCGAACGCGATTTTCTCAACTGCGAGCAAAACGTCATAAGGTACCTTTTTGCATCTGACGGCTCATATAGGCATCGCTGAAGGCAAGCACATCATTATGGTGCCTGTATGCTGGTCTCTCTGTATCCGAATCTTATACTATGTAAAAGTAAAGTAAATGAATTCAGTTAGCTTCTTAGGGCACTGTTGTGAAAACGGACTCAAGAACTGAACTAACTTCAGACTTCTCCCTGGCAACATTTCAGGTACTCATTCCACTGGTATTTTCTTTGCTTCTCTTCTAATAGATACAGGGCATCACTAGTTCTGTACATGTGTTGTCTATTGTTATATCACACTTTATGATGACCTTTCATACAAACTTCCAGTCAACTTGCCCATCATGCTGGCGGCTTATACTGGGCATATAATCCTCATACAAACCCCATACAAACCCCATATAGACCGCCACCATAGAAACAGGAAGAAGTTGACTGTCAGTTTGTATGAAGGTCAGCATAAGTATAATACATCCCACTAGTACGCTTGTACGTGAAATATAAACCATCATACAAACCGAGGCGAACTGTTGGGTTGTATTATATACATATGTCACACCCCACTTTGAAGTACATTGACCTCTTCACACTTATACTGCATGTACATGATTAGAAGACTTGCGGTGATTTTGTCTATATGCTTGAAAATCAACGCTTTCTATGCATTTTGTGTGTGATATTCTCTCTGTGTTTCGTCACTTTGAATTTAGCCGCACTATTTCATACCTCGGGAGAATGAAGTTGAAGACACCACTGCAGCTGTACTTATGGTTGATAAATATGGTGGTAAAGATGGTGGTAAAGACACACCTGGCAATATCTTCTAGAAGCTTGCCTGATGAGTCCAGCGGGGACGAAACGTACGTCGCAATCGAGCTATGTCGTTGCTGTGTCATCATCTATGTGCCATGCGCTACTTGATGTACCAGCCTGCTATGCCGGATACCGCCAGCCATGCATCGACCAGGCGCCAGGCGCGAACTGATGGTGGTGGTGGTGAGAAGGAGTGCTCTGTGCCAGAACTTTGCAGCCTAGAGAGCGTGTGTGGGCAGGCGTGTGTTTACCGCCATATTGCCAGGTGTGTCTTTACCACCATCTTTACCACCATATTTATCAACTATTTCATACCTCTTACTGATGTTTATATCACCAGTTTACATTGTGTATCAGATACTGTACTGGTTAGTCTACTTTCTGCCCCTCAGTGTATGCACGTGAAGAGAAGGCAATAAAAGTACTCAGCTGCGTGGAAACATTCAGAAATGTTGCTTGTGACGAGCCTGTAGTTAGTTCTGTTCTATACCAATCACAGTACCATTAAAACAGCTACCCTGAAGTCTGAAAGTACTCAGCTGCATGGAAACATTCAGAAATGTTGCCTGTTACAAGTCTGAAGTTAGCCCTCGGTCCTATAGTACTCAAACTCGAACTGACCTTTAAACACCTACCCTGAAGTTTGTCTTGGGACAATGGCCGTGATTGCCTGGAGTGCGTTTCAGTAGTGGCTTCAAGTCACGGTGATTGGTAAGCATCTGGACTGAACCTGCTGCATTGTCTTGCGGGCTTCCCGAAGACAAGTCTTGATAATTACTGGTAGGGGAAACCTGTGGAAAGAGCATATTCCATTGATAAGAGAATAGCGTGCCAAGTACAGCTAAGAATAGTCCAAAAGCACCACTCCAGTATGTGTAGATAAAAGTTGCAGGAGTGATTGGGTACCCGAGTGTCATTCAGTATGCCAAATTGCCAATTGTATGTTGTAGAAAATGTTGGGACTGGGGTTTGTGAAGAAAATTGTATCTGAGGGTTCAGGATCTATAAACTAAGTGTTTACCCTCCAGCGAAGGACAACACGGCGATTCTTAGGCCTCTCACCTCGTATGACCCAGAGATGCTGCTCTTCAAGATGGGAGACAGAACACCTCCTGCAGTGGATTCTGAACTCTGTGCAGCACTTGAGCTGCTCACAAACGCAGGTCCCCAGCGTAGCTTGGCTAGAATAGTTAGGAAGATGTTTGCTGGATCTGGGCAGGACACCTGCATGCAAGAACAGTCATGAAATGCCGTGAGGAAAAACCATGGGCATACATGCAGTCCATTTGTGTACTCTTAAAGCGAAGAATTATTATTACCGGCAACTTGAAAAGGTTGTGAATGTTGGACAGTTGAATTCTGACTCGAGCTGAATTCAACTTCAAAATGGAATCCTTTTAAAATTCATGTGAGCTTTTGTTCTGGCGCTCTGTATTTAGCTGCGTGATTATCGCCGAATTATATGCACATGTGCATGTGACTCGGAGGCCTGGTTGAAACACTGACTCCCCGATCTTCGATTCAGTGTCTGGCCTCCACCCTGACCAAGTGAGTAAAATACTTGCAAACCCCGAGATAGCATTACCATGATAACCACACGTTGGCCCGCAAGACATCTTCCTTCAACACTCCACAGCTAGCAGCCAACCACCGCTAGATCAATGCTGTCATAGCAATTCCGTTCTGCAGCATTCCAGCGGCAGCCGAAGTTGCTGCATATCCAAATTGCAGCGATGGGTAGAAACCCTATGACGGAGGGTCTACGAATTGAAAATATCTTTAGGCACTTTGAAGAAACAGGAGAATTTCTGCTTCCTTTCTACCATTGCTCCCCAAAACATTTGCTATTTTAGGATCTGCATTGCATTACATCTGCGCCTTGAGGATATGGCGGTGTTCTTGCGGATGCAAGAACCCAGTCAGACCGACTCCCTGGCGCGTCAAGTATCTTTATCTGTAGCATTGTACTGCAGGAGTAAACGAGTGCAGGGACAAAACACTACATTGTACTTACGTTGCAATTGGTGATAAGGGAGAGAGGCACTCGGAGAGTTTGTTTGTTCATCGAATGATTTCCGCTGCCTGGATGTTCATCATCATGCGCTACGAAGACGAAGTCTCCGGCTTCACCACACACATCACCCGCCATCTTGCTTCCGGACACCATGGTAACCGCATGGTTACCGAGATCAGCTTCCCCGGCGCATTGGAGAGCGTTCCCTGGTAAGTTGTCGCGTGGCCAGTGGAAAGGCAGGAAAATTCTCACATGGTCAATGAAAGCGCGTTTTCCTGTTCCAGCATAGAGGAGGCGAGACGAGCGACGGATCACGGACACCATTCGGTGCAGCATCCCAATACTTGGACACTGTTGCGGAGAGAGAATGGCATCATTTTCGTCCAAACTGTCGTCGAGCCTCACGTCGAAACTCAACCTCACAAGACCGTCCCCTGATATCGGTGTTGATGCATGCGCGGCCATATGCCACAGCAGAGCATGGAAGGTAGCCGCCAACAAGACGAAACGAAAGAGCGGCCTGATTGTCCCGGAGCCGTAGCCTCTGATGTGAGCCATTGTCTTCGTGGATGACAAGCACAGTGTTTCTTATTTGCTTTGCAAATTGTCGTTTGCTTTTCCTTCTGTGTACAGTAATGAACTGTACACACAGTGGTACACCTCCTCTTCTGCTCCTTTTTACTTCTCTCTCTCTTTCTCTCTATTTCTCTCTCTCTCTCTCTCTCTCTCTCTCACTCTCTCTCTCTCTCTCTCTCTCTCTCTCTCTCTCTCTCTCTCTCTCTCTCTCTCTCTCTCTCTCTCTCTCTCTCTCTCTCTCTCTCTCTCTCTCTCTCTCTCTCTCTCTCTCTCTCTCTCTCTCTCTCTCTCTCTCTCTCTCTCTCTCTCTCTCTCTCTCTCTCTCTCTCTCTCTCTCTCTCTCTCTCTCTCTCTCTCTCTCTCTCTCTCTCTCTCTCTCTCTCTCTCTCTCTCTTGCTTGGCTCAACTTTGCGTTCGAAAGTAGCTGTCTACCGAAATGAAAACTTTCCTAGCTATATATACTCGTTGAGAAGGATCTTCAAAAACAAACCCATCATATTGGAAGACAATGTGGCTGGATGTGGCGTATACGCAGAGCTGACAAAGCCATTCATTGCCGTATGCCTCCTCTGGCTCGGCTTGCTTGACTCCAACATCTGGACACAATGGCCAGGAATAACAAGAAGAGAAACTGCTGGGCTGCTTGCAGCCTACTTTCTGTCTTTACCTAGCAATGGTATACATGTACATGTACATCCACTGGTGGCAAAGAAATAGCATGAAGGACACTCCGACATCGACCTTCGCCGACGCTGTGGTTTGTTATCTCCAGAAATAGACCTTCGCCGAATCCGTGTGTAAGAAGGGCAGCAGAAAGAATAGCACTCTAGCTTTCTGCACCCCCCCCCCCTCTCTCTTTCTCTCATCTTGGCTATTTTGTCCCATGGTTCTCTTCAAACTTCAAACAACATCAATAATGGTGGGCCATGTGTGTGCGAGTTAGAGTTCCAAGTAATCCAGGCGCCGTTTAAGGGCCTCTCGCGATGCGAGGTTTGTAGGATGCAAAGTTGCAAACATCAACAACGAGAGCAATGTGCACATTTTATGTTTATGCACTCTTGATGTGTGATGCGTGTACTGCCCACTACCTGTACAATGTCAGTGTACATCCAGCTGCAAGCCTGGACACCGGATTTACATAACATTCTACTGAGTCTGAGAACCACCGATGTGCTTTTCTCGTGATCACAGCATAATGCCAAGGTTGCAATCAGCTAGCTGCTGGTCTCTTAGTTCCACGAAAGTTGGTCTTGAAATGATGCATGAGGGTTTCGTGGGCCGGGAAAATACATGTACTACAGAGTGTTCCGACAAAGGTACTCTAGATGTTCATGAGTATTTTACATGTACATGTACACGTAGGTCATATTCATGAAGACACGAGATATCGAAACACATACATGTACATGTACACGTGACGTGTATCCATCCCATCATTATCATGTGCGATACGAAGTCACGCCAATTATTTGGACATTGCGCTATACATGTACATGTACATGTACCAGCAACCATTCGTGCGTGTTCTTGTGCGTGTGGCTGTGCGCGCGGACAGTAATGAGTTGTTGTGTTGTTCGTATGATTGTATGTGCATGTGTGCTGTGTCTGACACCATCCGGGTATCTCATGTCCGCGTTATGACTCCACCGTAGCCAAACAACGCAGATGCTGCACTTGCATGAACTATTCCTGTGCTTGCGGGTTGAATGTAGAAAGTGTGTACAGGTGCTGCGCTGACCCTCAGTATCACCAGTATCCATCGAATGAGATCTGTAGTGTTGTAGACGATGGCTTGATCCTATGCTACATGTATATCCGACTACTACATGTATATGTACAGTCAACTAATTTCTTCGCTTATAACGACACTCGGCGGGGCATCAGAAAAGTGTCCTTATTCGCGAAGTGTCGTTATACCCGAAGTCTCATTGTATGTGTCACAGTTGGAAGGGACTTTGCTCTGGGCATGGAAATTATGTCGTTATTCGCGAATTGTCGTTATATCCGCCGTCGTTATTAGCGAAGTTGACTGTACATGTATTCCAGATACACATACACATACACATACACATACACATACATGTACATGTATTATGTAGCGTTGTTGGTCACGAGCTTACTTGCAGAGTTGCACAATACAACTGGCTTGGTGTACACACGTACCCCCCCCCCCCCAAACACACACACACACACACAAACCTAATTTTTTCACACAAACCTGTTTGTTGCAGCACATCTGCGGACTGTGGGGCCTGACAAAACACTCGTACTCGTCAACAGGTCAGTGTAAAAGAAATCATATAAACACTCGTCAAACAGACGAACCAAGTACCAATTTAAAAGCCTTCCAAGTAATTTGAAGGTTGTTGGTGTGCGCCTTGGAGAAGTGTTGGAGCTAGGTGTCAGGTCGCCGAATGTCTCAGTACTCCTTGTCAGTTTTGTGCCATTTTGTCGCACTCGCTTGGCTGTATAAGATCTGGTTACGTTGGTGGACAGTTTGTCATAACTCGTAACATTTTGTCCTTTTCCTTTCTTCATCATAACGATATTGGCTCACCATTCCAGTTCAAATTTACACTCCCTTTCAATTCTCAATATTCCAGGCAAATCTGCCTCGACTCCATCAATGTGCCTTAGCAGGTTAAGTACTTGTACGAGGACTAGTTTCAATTTTACTACGACAGATTATTGTTACCAACTGTTGTCAGGGGAAATGCAGATATTCCAAAGTTCATTGTTTGGCGATTCACAATGTCAAGCCAAGCTCTTCTGGTCTGGGAAATAACATATCTCCAGCTTCGGCATTGGAAAGTTCACATGTTTCTAAAAACGATCTATCTGGTTAGGGGGCGTCATCATCAGGGTTTCTTGAAGTCATTCGCCTTGATCGAAAATTTGATAGCTCTGTAAGATGTGGAGTCAGCGACTTTACTCAGCACATGACCAAGCGGTCATAGTAATAAACGCCTTTTCCTGCACGTTGTGGTAATTGGTAAAACATGTGAACTTTCCAATGCCGAAGCTGGAGATATATTTCCCAGACCAGGTGAGCTTGGCTTGACAATCAAGTTGACATTGTGAATTGCCAATAAATGAACTTTGGAATATCTAGTCCTCGTACAAGTACTTAGCCTGCTAAGGCACATTGATGGAGTCGAGGCAGATTTGCCTGCAATAAGAGAATTGAAAGGGAGTGTGTTCTCATTTGATTCTCATTTACGGGAAGACGAGTTAACCCGATGGGTGATCTCACTCATGCCATGGGCTACTTGCGAGCTGTACGCGAAGTAGCATTATTCCTGTTGCAAATTTGTACTCGGATGTTGAGCCAATGTAATCATGGATCAAATTAATATAATGACAAAGGACAACATGTTACGAGTTAACACAAAATCGACCCTGCTAAACGTACATGTACAATATAGGTACGACACACAAGATCATAGATGCTGTACAAAGAACTGCATAAAACCATGTACATGTACATGTATGTACAGATGTGCGTGGAGAAAATGGATCGGCTGATTGCAACGTACAAACCAATATGGTACAAGTTCAGCCGTTGTGAAGGATTCGAAATGGATTATTTCGCAGGAGGCACACTCGGCCAGCTGTCCAGCACTCTGCTGCATGATAATGAGCGACTAGATGTGCTGCGGGATGCTGCATCCATTTTGATGTAAAGGCATCAAAGATCTGTGTTAGCATGCCAGCCGATGGCACACGGATTACCAAAGTAGATAGACCAAGGTTCTGCTAAATTTACCAAGGGAGAAGGTACGTGTAGATAGGTGCAATCTCAATGAAATTACGGCTTATACAATATACCTCCTGAACTATTCCCACGCACAGGAATCCAACCCATAGAGGATTTGGTTCTACATGTAGTTGATTCGTCATCAAACTCCTGGAGGTTTGGACTATGCATTGTGGAAGTGATGACGCGAAAAAGCTTCACCCATTTATGGAATAAACCTCTAATGAGCAACGACCGACATGTACAAGCAATGTATAACTATGAATGACTGTCAATTGAGGAGGGGTTTATATGAGCCTCTGAAATAATTTCCGCACTTGCACACTTCAAAACTACCCCATTCTCTGTGTTGACAAGTAGTTGCTGCTCTACTTGTTGCGACTGGATGGGGCTGCGCTGCGAGTAGGGATATGGAGCACGTCATAAAGGAGATCATTCACTCAGATCAAAGAACACCTTGTCCTTGCGAAGGCATTTCCCTGAATGATGCAGGCACATCGAAGGTGACCAGTGCGTTGGCACTGCAGATTCCATCACAAGGATTTCTAGCCAGCGGCCAGCGGAAATGGCAAGATGGCAGACTTGGCAACTCGCCCACTGTATATCCCTGCTCATGAATCGGACGAGTCATTAGAAGACGAGCGACCAAGCTTCTGGATGTCGCGGCCAACGACCATGCCAAGACGTGCACCTGCTTCAGCTG